ACTATAATATAATTTTATTTTTTTTTTAAACCCTTAGTCAGGCCAGTATAGTGCATTTATTAATCATAAATAACAAGATCATGTGTGATATATTGGACAAATATATCTTGGCTAAACTAAATCTCATGCTGACTCACTCATCACTTTCAAATCTCAAATAAGCTTCAAGCCTCTAAGTGTGACCTTGGGAACAATATTTCACTCCAAAATTAGTTTTGGGTAAAGACCCTTCTAACTTTTCCATCATTGCCAGCAGGTTGCCACTGCTATAAACTATAATATAATATACTATATAATATGTTATATATATTATTATAATTTAATTAATTATATATTATTATATAAATAATACCAAATAATATATAAATATGAATGATTTTTTTTCACAAGTTTTATAAATTTTTGAATAAATAATTGTTGAATTTTTAATGAATAGTCAATGAACTTTTAATGAATAATTTAATGAATAGTTGCTGAATATTTAATGAATTGTTAATAAATTTTTAATGAATAATTTTAATGAATAGTTGTCAATTTTTTTAATAAATAGTTGAAGAATTTTTGATAAATTTTTTATGAATTATTAATAAATTTTTATTGAATTGTTAATAAATAATTTTGTAATGAATTTTTAATAAATTGTTAAGGAATTATTATCAGATTGTTAATAAATTATTTGACAAATTGTTAATATGCCAATTTTTTTTATTGTTGAATTTTTTATTGCTAAATTTTTGATTGTCAAATTTTTAATTGCCAAATTTTTAATTGTTACTTTATTGTTGAAATAGTAATATGCTGAATAGCAGCAATCAAAAAGAATTTGGCAATATTTTTATTATTAAATTTAATCAAATCAACAATAATTCAACTGCTAAATGACCCAATTTTGACTAGTAAAAGTAAAGAATACAATAAAAGTAATTAAGTAATAAAACTATAATATTGCAAAGAAATGTTTAAAAAATCATAAAGAAGAGCAAGTATTGGATTTTTTTTTAACTTGTTTTTTACAGTATATTATTATTAAAAAAAACCCTTCCTATTTTAATTTTTTAAATAGTTTGATTTAAATAAAATTAAATAATTATATAATAATTTATATCGACTAATTTATATCTGATTTGAATCATATTGGATTTGATCTGAATTTGATTTGAATCTGATAATTTTATAAATTCAAAATTTGATTTGATTCAAATTTGATCAAATTAAAAATTTTGAAATTTGATTTAATCTGATTTATATTTGATTTATAGATCAATTAGATTCAGATTAAAATTGTGATCACTACTTGCAATAAGTATACTCTACTAGTGGCTATTGATATTAATGATTAATAAGAATCTCTCAAATTATCCAGCTAGCTCATATATTATTGCTAACATTTTAGACTCAAGTTTCAATTGGTAAAGTGACATTAACCTTTCAATTTTTTAGTTTAGAATTTTTTGAAGATAGAATAAAAACTTTTTAAATTGCTTTGCACATGAGCTTTACTATTAAGTATCTCTAATAGCTCTATGTTTTTTCCAATTGAACTTTTTTGAATAGTAGAGATTGAGATCTATCCATAAAAATGAGTCTCTAAAGTAATAAATAGAAACAAAAGTCAAATGTCCCTTATTAGAAAACATTGAAATTTTTATATTAATAATTATAAAAAAATTATTCATAATTATTTTCTATTATTCAAATTATTGATTTATAGTATTTTCTAACTTTTGTCTCTATTAAAGTAAAGAGCTTTGAATTTTGTTTCTTAAAAAAGGACATAAGTAATCTGTAAAATTTTATATACTAAATACTTTAGAAACTCATCATTACCTACTTGATATCAATCAGAATATAGATGGCTCTGACTTAAAAAAGATCAATTGAACATCTTGTAACATTTACTATAATTGAATAAACTTTTCTTTATATTCAATGATGTGTCAATATCATATCCTATATCCTTGCATATCAATCATATATGACTTATAGTAGATTCCAGGTTCTTATAAGATTGAGAAAATATATTCAGATATATGATGTGACCAATAAGAGCTTTTTTATTAATCTTATCCATCATGTTTTATGTCAACCAATCAGATTCGATAAAATTCATACTATCTAAAATTTCAGAATTAAATTGGAATAAGCAAAATTCTCTAGAAAGTTATAAAAAAAATAGCTTTTAAAGAGTATACAACCAATCAAAGAATAAAAAAGTGAGTCCTTTAACTAAGATATAATCTCTATCTTGTCTTATTTCTTCATCTTAGTTAAGAGATAATAGACATTTTACTATTGATCCTTTTCCTTTTAAGAACTTTCTTGCCATTGGTAATAAAGGTGGGAATCAAACTTTATAGATCACAAGAATTCAATTTGTTCAAAAGAAATTGTAAATATAATAAGAAAAGAGTAAATAAGTTCTAGAAGAACTTTTTAAGTTGATTTAGGAAAAGTAGTAAGACTTTCTTAGCATAGAAGTATTAAAATTTCTTGCAAATATCTTTTTTGTATATAATCAAAAGATCAGTAAAGAGAGTTGTATATATAGTATATAAAGTTATATATTATCAAAAAATTTAAATAATGAAATTTCAGAATACTATAAAAATTTGAACTTTACTTTAAAAAATAATATTTTATTTATTAATAGATTGTATTAATATTAAAATTTTTATTACTATATATAAACCCTTTCCGCTGATCCTTTAACTACATATAAAAAAGATATTCATAAGAAGTTTTTATACTTTTTTGCTAATAAAGTCTTAATATTTTCTTTCAACTAATTTGAAGTATAACTTAAAAGTTGTCTCTATTCTTTTCTTTTTATTTACAAATTTTTTTACTCAAAAACTTGACTCTTAGTAATAAAAAAAAATCAAGTAATATCTTTGATATCAATAATAAAAAAGTTTTCAAAAAAAAAAGAACTGATTGTAAAGTACCTGAAGATTTATTTAATCTTTAAAGTAAAAGGTTTATAAAGGTTTTCTATAGTAAAAAGACTTATTTTCTTCCTTTTTGATTGTTTTGATCCTTTTAGAACTTTCACTTTCATGGTTTTCTGAAAAATTTTACTTATTTCAGTTTGACACTAAATTTTGAACAGTATAAATTCTTATTAAAGATAATTGATTGACATAAAACATGTTAGTTTTTAAAATGTAAACAAGCTTCTATTGATTATATTCATATATTCTGATGACATTATTAATAATTTAAAAGAAGGTTCTAGAAATATTTGTTCTCAAAAACTCAAGTTCCTTAATAACGATTTTTATAATACCAAAAGATTAAGTAATAGATAATATCAATTGCAAACTCCTATCTTTTATCTAAGTTCTTCAAGTGATAACAAAGCTTTAATGAAAAAAAGCTAAAGTTTAAATACTTTCCTTGAAATATCTCAATTTAGTGCTCACTTAAATGAAAAATCAATTGAATTGATTTGTCTGATACTATAGATGGTAAAAAAGAAAATTTCTTTCAAGGTTCTAGTAAAACAAAAAGACTATTTCAATCAGATAGATCCCTTTTGAGAAGAGATTGTTTTTATTTTTGGATTTTTTTTGATGAATCTTGAATTGTTCTCTTCCTTCAATCATTTTTCTCTTTTCTTTTTTTAACTTAGCAATTCATTGATTTTGGGGCAATCAACAGTAACAAACTGTTGACAATAATCCTAATAGATAGAGAACATTACCAATCTATTAAAGTGTATTGTTCCCAAAATTTGACTTAGAGTACTTATATATGAAGACAAGTTAGTTACTTTGTAAAAGTTTATAAATTATTATAGATTTACTTTAATTTTTCAATAAAGACAAACATGATTGCAGGTTAAAAAAAATAATAATAATAAAATTTCTTATTACTATTATATACTTTTTTTTATTAAACTAATTAATTTCTCTTGTACTTTTTGTATCTTTGCTTATTTGCCAAAATATACTTTACAGGATCTAAGTTTATTTTTAAATTAAAAACCATAGCATATATAGTTATAAATAAGTATAAACCAAAGAAAAAAATATATAATGACAGAATATAATACTCAATAAACTAATATAAACTCAAACGTTGATTGCGGTTTAAAAAAAAAAAAAAAAAACTAATATTAAACTCAATATTAATTCATTATGACTATTACAGTTGACACAACGCAAGAACCTAACATATTCTAACATATTCACGTATTAAACCAGTTCATCGTCTATAATAAACTTATTCTTGTACGAATTCAATATTAGTAACAAAGTTTATTTAAATAAAAGTAATAAGGCAATCTTGAACAAAAATGTTCTAGTTACCTTCATTCTCGGTATAACTTGAGGTGGCATATTTTGTCTTCTAAGTTTTTCGGTTTTGGGATTATTTTGCATAGTAAACGAAGACGTTTTTCTAAAATTATCAATGGTGTTTGCGGTGAATTTTTATTAGCGAAACAACACGTTATTAAAAAGTACTCAAAATAATCTAAATCATCATCCCTTTCGCTTCGCTTTCTCTTTCTTTTCCTCTTATTCGTCTGTTTGATACTCTGAGCAACGCCTACAGGGATTTTATGCTGGCTGTTTTATTCGTGGAACGTGCTCTTTTTCGAATCCGTCTCGGGACAGTTCATCAACCGGCGACTAGCAGAAAGTCCACAGTGCTTGCGTGGACGACTGGTAATGGCCGGGCTAGAAAAAGTTCCCTTTCTTTCACTCCTTCGAATCCGTCTTGGGACAGTTCATCAACCGGCGACTAACAGAAAGTCCACAGTGCCTACGTGAACAACTGGTAATGGCCGGGCTAGAAAGAGGAAAAGGGTGCACATCCTGAAAATTAATTTTAAAATTATTAATTTATCAATTAATGCACTTACACGTGACATTATTAGCGTCACACTTAATTATATAATACGTGTCAAGGTATTTTTTTTTTTTTACGGTAACGCGTCTTCCGCGTCTTCTAAACAACTTAATAAATTTAGTATTCTAAACCAATTTTTAAAAATAATGAATGACAGATATAAACCGCAAGATTATCTGATGGATAAGATAGATTCATACTTCCTCTCTCAAGATAATTCCTTCTCTGACTGGAATAAATGGAGTTTGGTATCTTTCTTAGAGTATGCAGACGAGAGAAAAACCTTGTCATTTAATGACAAAAGAGAACTACATCGAAGGTTTTGGGACTCCATAAGTGCAATTTTAAAGTCAGATGCGCCGGCAATTATGAAGGAAGCGATCAAGGATCTTGAGAATGAGGTGCGTGTGAGATATTGAATATTGTTGAATTTATTCTCAAGCTTTTTAATACGATCCTTCATTAGACGTGTTCGGTCAGTGTCGATTTGTTCTGGAAGAAAATTAAAACGGATGAGGAAATTGCTGTTGCAGAGGCTGAATATCAACGCAAACAAGCTTTTATTGAACTAAAGAATAGGTTTGAAAATGTACGCACATTTATTTGTTCTATGCTTCTTAATACCGATATCCTGACTTGAAATCATGTATTTTAGAGGGTAATTGAGAGTCGCGAAAGAGAAGTGGAGAAGGATGTGAATGTAATTATAATCGCTGATATGGTGGTTTGATTAAATCAAGAATTTTCATAATTTGTTTTTTGTCTGATTTTTCAAAATTTTAGAAAGCACTGTCGGTGTTGGATACTTCCACCACAACATCACTATCCGATAATGCTTCTACAGCATCATCACCTCGTTATACTCCCACAACACCACCTCATAATGCACCGCAACCTCTATTACAGGGTGATTCCACCACAACATCACTATATGATAATGCTTCCACAGCATCATCACCTCGTTATACTCCCACAACACCACCTCGTAATGCGCCACAACCATCATCACAGAATATTCTTAAACGTTCTTTTGATATTTAGAGACAGGTTACGAAATGGATTGGGCTCCATGGAAGTTCGACGCCCTGAAAAGTAATGTAAACATAGAATGCGTACTAACGAGCTTGCATGAAAGATGTCAGAAGAAGAAACAGAAAACTAAAACGTCACTCGAATACGGCATAATTGACCTTAATGACGGCATCATTTTAGAAGCTTTGGGGTAATCAGTGATATCGCATTTTGAAGCAAAGATGCAAGAATATAAACCTAAGAAAGCTTTATCCGCAGAAGTTATAAGAACCTTGAAAACATTTAATGTTGTAAGTAACTGAAGAATAATTTACGAAGATTAGATATTAATTATAGTCCACTTTTTTTAGACATCTTTAGAAGACCTTGGAAAGGCATTTGACGAAGTCAAAATAAATTATAATAATTTGGATCGTGATATTATATACTTGCGTCGTCTTTTCGAAAAAATGTAAGTATGTCATTATGAAAATCAAAAAAGCAACCTTTTCTAATAGTCATTTTGTGCATAGCTATTTGTTATTTCAAGATAAATCAACAATAAATCTCGATAACAGAGACCTACCGGAAGGCTGGTATAACAGCCACATCGTGGCACCAATCTTCGATGACTGTCTTGAGACAATGGATGAATTAATGTATTCTCCGACGGTATTTGTCAAGAATTCATGTTGTGTTTATGTTATTATTATATTATGCACCTAACTGATAAACATGTCCATTGTTTTGCTTATTAGAGGTGAAGTAGAAAGCTTTGTGCAAAAGCTTCTTGATAAAAAATCAAGAAAAAAGAATAAATATGACGGGATTTTATCTTTTAGCAGACAATTTGAGTTTATATACTTAGAGATAGCAACAACTTCTGTACTTTCGAAGTCAGATAAAGATTTATCGAAACTACACAATGCTATTATCCTTATGTTTAAGCATATGGTATCTACATTACCGGAAAAATTACTACATGAGATTTCATCCATGCCCATTCTTTGCGTGCAATTTGGCGGTAAGTTAGATTAGTTTTATTAATCATAGTAATCGTAGCAATTTGCTAATTACATTTCCATTTATTTAATGCGGATTTTATTTTGTTAATGTCATAGGAGCAAGCGTTGAAGTATATTTAGCAATCTGGTTAGCAAATATGCGACCGATAGTTTTTTCGATTATGGACTTTGAAATAGCAGAAGAGATAACAACATTTCCGAAAATGACAAAGGTTGCCGCCAAAATGCTGTCATTGCGGGTATTTATCTTTCTATTATATCTATGAAGCGTCGGTATATTCTTATAACAGTTGACCTCTATTTGTAGCCTTTCATTTAAGATCTACATAAAAGATACCAAACATTGTTAACGAAAGAGGCCGACTATTATTTAGATGGCAACACCTGGACATCACCAATAAAGATGAAGGCTCGTCGTTAAGTAGATGCTTGAATATTCAGCTTAGCTTTTAGATGATGATTAAAGTATTATGTAGTCGCATTTTACTCTATTGTACACAATTATACACTCCAATAGAATAATAAGAAACGTAAACATGCAATACAAATGTAATCCTGATTACCCTTAAGCGCCTTTTTCATAAGATTTATCTGATATTCACTATTGCTTGTACAAAAAATCCCTTCGGAAGTGAAAATGATAAAATGCCAATAATAAATCCGATAATTAGCATAACTACTTTTGGTAAAAAAATCCAGTATATGTGCGTACGTAATGTGATAATAGAAATTTTCCCATACCTGTTGACACAATCCCATATAGATAGTCGTAATGTGTAAGAAACACTCGAGTTGTTTTATATTTTGGAGATAACCAATCTTACCATTTCGTGGTTTACCCTCAGTTATACACAAAAGATCCTCCACCCCTGTTATGGCGTAATCAACTCTACCAGATGCTTCTTCACTCGAAATATCCCTCTGCAATTCTATATTGATTTCTTTATCTGTTAACCTCCGTGCGATAGCGATTGATGCGTGTAATATTGATGAAATAGATTCACATCGGGTCGCCTCATTAGCCTCTATCATTGATTTTATATTCGTTAACCGTAGTAGAATTTCATTCATACATTGCTCGAGGGCTTTGTCATCATCATCGATTTCCTCAAAAACTGTATAACAAAAAAAGCCAAGAAATTTCAGCGAACTTGGTTCGCCCAAATAATGCTAAGAAAAAATAAAGTAATACCACATACCAGGACTGAATTGCTTGATGTTTGTTATATCCTCCCCGTTAACCTAATATTTACGGAGCACGTCTTTTAATTCATCCAGAGTTTTATAGGACGAGAAGCTACGTATCTTATCTCTTCGATAAAATCTACAAGAACGGTTGCAGTCCCACCCTTCAAGCCATAGCTACGAAATTCTTTTTTGGTAGTCTTAAGAAATGCACGACCGGTGATCTCTTCTGCCGAAAAATCTTGAAATGAGATTCTTTAAGATCTAAGTCCTGCCTCCATAAATAGTCGATAAGCTCTTCCGTCTTATAATTTTTCACAACGACCGCCATCGTTCGAGTTGACCTTTCTTCCGTCAAAGTAGAGGCTGTAGAAACAGGTGAGGAAGGTGTTGAATCGTGCGAAGACATTTTTTTATATCGGCATAAGGCGTAATGAATCTGGTTTATGCGATGCGTTGCAAGAAGCTAGATAATGCAAGGAAAGAGAATGAAAATTTTTTTCGTTTACTTTTAGGTGGATCAGTGGCTTTTTATAGTATTTGATTACGCAACTCATATAGAATGGCAAGTACATGCTGATCTCGGAGATTGCGGAGATTTCGACTTCCCAAGACATAAGTCCCTTAATATACGCACTAATGAAGATTGTCGAGCTGACCTTCCTTATTGCCTTTTCGAGTCTCGTTTACGCTCGATCTTATCGTGAAGCATGTTTATTATAGAAATATCTTCTAACCTAAATACGTATAGCGAAAAAAAAAAGATTTACGCATGTTTCACAAACTTCTACGCTGATCACTGATTCGTCGATTAAATACGTAATGCGATTTATATTCTCATATATGTACCCGCTATAGCCACTCTCCGGCAAGAAAACACTAATTAGTTTTAAAAGAAGCATAAGGGGAATGGGTTTATCATTTCTCATTAGTAGTTTAATCAAAGTTCATATGCTACAATGACTTTGCATTTCCCAGATCATCGCGATCATTGACTTTTTTACTCTGCCGGTGGATCGTCAAATTAAGGGGTGTTTTACTGAAGACAATCACATTAAGTGGTTAACAGAAAAAATAACGAAAATGGATTTGGCTTTGGAATAGGTTTAATGGTCTTGGACGGTATGAAATACTTCGTTTTTTCCTCTTGTAAGGTGGGTACCAATAACGTTTTATAACGCCAATTCGAAGTAATGTATCATCGTTCAATATATCGCTATTAATTAAGAATATAAAACTCATTTTACTTACCGCTATTTCGTACCTAGGATCGTGAAAATGAACAGTACTAACGATAGCACCACCCCAAAGAGCAATGCCACTACCACCTCCAAGAGCAATAAAAGTAATGTTTCCAAGACCAACAACCCATCGTCATCTAAATCTAATAAGAAACCTGCGCCTGTGGAAATCACTGTAACTCGTAAGAAAACTTTATATTACGTAATTTTGGAGCTATAGTATTAAGACAATAATTTATTAATACTTATTCTATTAAAATTAGGTAAGTTAGAAGTGAAACAAGGCGATAGAAAGTTTACTCATACTCAAGTTTCTAAAACAAAATCTAATGATGCTTCACTGTTAGATTCTATAAAAAAGATAGGCCAATGATGTATAATTTAGAAACCTTGTGAAGTTTTATCCAATCGGGATGTGGGTTACGACCCCACTATCTGTACATCGTCTGGTATTTTTTAAATAAAGAAATCCTCACTACTGCGACAAATAATTGATTTGTTCTGAGATCACATGAAATTATTTTTTTATCCATGCCAGCTCTGCCGATATTTATTATGGGATATAGTGAAATAAATTAAATATATTTTATATGTACTATATAAACAAAAAATGGCTTATGAACTACGTGATCAGATTTCCAAGTATATAGGATTTGATCCTGAAGAAATTTGTCTACCAGTTGCAGAGGAAGATAAACAACTTTTCCAGGTATTGATATTGGATCAAGAGAAGATGACTAATATTGTGATGGACGAGTATCGATTTTTGCTTCATCACGGACATTGTCATAGGGGATGTATACTAACTTGGCCTTGGTGCTTGTGATTGTAACTGCCAAGTCTGCTGCTGTTGTATCTTGTGACAAGAGTGTCAGTGTTATGTTAAAATGCTCCCTTTGTTCCTTGATCTTGTGTGTTCTATAGAAAGGAAAAATTCTGCACAAATAGAAACCTTTTGTGAATTCCCAGTCTTGACTGATTCCTATGTAGTCAGATGTGTTGGAGAACATTATGTTTGCAATTTGGAAGGGCCCTGCTTTCTGCAGGATAATGTAATCAATACTGATTTGTTCATTAAAAAACTCTGCTAAGTTTATTTTGGTGAAATGTTGAACATCCCATATCCTGATGGTGCGAAAATTACTTTCTTGATAGCCTAGTAAAGTGATCATTCTAAATTTGATGTTCTCATAGTCTATGATTTCTATTGCACATGCTTTTTGTACATCCTTCTGATTACTAAAAATGGTCATAATTTGTGGTTTTCCAATTGGATATTCTAATCTTACATACTTCAGGGAGGGCAAGTGTCTCATTTTTTGTTTGTTGAAATCTGTTTTTTCTCTGGAATTTTGTCCTGACACACATTCTAGGTCGATAAATACTTTCTATGGTCTATAAGAAGCTTGTCTATCTTGGATATTTCGTAGTATGAGTGGTTTCTTTTAAATATCACTTTGACTATTATAGCTTTAATCTGTTTAACTAATAATACCTAGTTACTTGTTCTGTGTTTGAGGCTCTGTAGTATTTCTGTCTTCAGGTACCTCGACTGTGATAGAGGATAGTATTCTACTGC